CTATTTGAGGTGCAGAGAGATAAATAGCATTTCTGAAGTTCACATCTTCCTTACCTGAAAATGTATTTCGGATAGATACCTACCTTTCTGCACCACCTTTCACCCTTCCTCCTCACTTTGGTGCATTGTCTTTGCCTCATTAAGAAGGAGCCTATGATCATGTGCTAGTGTTCAATGGGATTACAACACACTCACCCTCTTATTCATGGAAGTATAAAGCATTATGACAATTACATCATAGACTGCTGCAATACATGTAGACACGAGTAGTGGTGGGAGTTTGTCCAAGGATTGTGGCATGTACATGAAATTCCACAGCAGTTGCATACGAGGTACTAGCTCTTAGTGGTGCAGAGAGGTAATTATCTACCTGAAATACATTTTCAGATACAGAATATGTTAACTTTTTCAATAGATTAGCTATAAATGCACTTATAACTATTTAACTTAATAACTATCATCCATGCTTGCTTAAAACTAAGCCCAAATTATGTAAAATAATGTAAAAATTATATTGTCCTTGTATAACTTGTCACATATACACAAGGCAATTTTTTTACAGTAGGTTAGGAACAATATGTTTCATTCTAAATTGTATTTCACATAAAAAAAGATTAAAAATTCAAAAGAAATGAATTAAGTTTGTTATAGGGATCATATTATTATAAAGTATTTTGTTCTATTCTTATTGTGAAATACATCAAAACTGCAGTATTTTTTTCTCTTTTCTTGCAGTATTTGCTCATTTTTAGTGTACTTATCACTTGAAAATTATTATTGTATGTTGTGCAATATATATTTATATACCCATTTCTCCATGGCTGTCTTTGATACAGCAGCATAATTTTAGGTTTGCATAATAATGTTCAGAAACAAGCTACTCCATGCTTGTTTCAGTAGTACAGTAAAGTTGGTTTGTGAAACCGTACAAATGTGTGAGAGGGGATAATATGTTTATTCATTTTAAGATGCTGTAGGTAAGAAACTCTCATAGGCTATGTATTTAATATATTAATCAAACATTTTTGTTGTTTGCTTCTTGGAGTTTTGGCATGATGTGTAATGTCTAGAAATTTCCCCAGGCGTTTTGATTTGATGTGACATCTCAACTTTTCCAGAGACTCGGAGAGGGTATATTGTAATGATAGTAACAAAACACCAGATAATTTTTGTTAAGTGAGTCAGTCAGTCAGTTAATTAGTGAATCTGTCAACCAGTTTTGAGTCTTTGCCATAAATGTAAGAGGATATTTTACCAAGTAACTATTTAATCTTATCTATGAAGTTGGGCCTATCATTAGTTATGTGTAACTTGTACCAGTTGTAGAGCTTGTGGTCAAAGAAACAAATGCTTTTTTTTTATCAGCAAGGAAACTGAACTATTCAAAAAAGAACCAACCCAAAAACAGAAATCATTACAACACTAATGTCATAACTTGAGTTATTTTGTTAAAGAGGTAAAAATAGAATAGAATCTAAACTGAAAATCAAAATTACATGTGCTTGAAGTGAGATCAAAAATTTGCTGGCATCAATGACACAGTGGAACAAGAAACAAACAAAAAGGATAGAAAACTACCAAATATTGAAAGAGATCAATACCTAAAAGATAGGAATTTAAAAGAAGAATTACAAAAAGAAATATGATTTATAGATGAATTAAACATTTAAATAAATTAGATTAAAGAAGTTCTTGGAGATGTACAGAGGGTTTATAATAACAAAACTGAAGAAGTACAAAGAACATCATTGTGGTCAAAAGATAAGTACAAAAAAAGACTATAACAACAAAATCAGTGAAGTAGAAAAGAACATCAATGACAGAATAAAACATCTAGAAAAGATATTTGTAAATTCAAGGACCAAAACAACCACACACCTCCATATCTGAGAATCTCAGTCACAAACACTATTACTATGCAGCATGGAACATGATAACTCATGTGGCCTACACCTGTTTTTGTTACTGCTATTCCACCTATTATTGCAGAAACTTCCTGGTCTAATCCATTTATATCATTACCAAATCCATTTTCAAAATTTAGCTGGCTAATTCAACAAGATTTCTCAGTTGAGAAACCAACATTTTATGACAGAAAGCTATCATGGGAGGCATATCTGGCTCAGTTCAAAATAATTTCTAAAGTGAATGAATGGAGTATTGAGCAACAAGCCTTTAACCTTACTGCTTAAAAGTGCCAGCTTTAACATCATTAATCAATCTTCCAGATGAAAACTTTACCAACTATTATGCATTGATGGCTGCCTTATCAAACTCGTTTGTAGTAACACATCAGAAGGAAGCTTTCAAAGCAAACTTTAGTTAAGGTTGTATGTGACCTTGTGCATAGTGAGATGGAGATATACATTCTGTCCAGTGGTATTCCTTTGATGGGCTCTGAGACTGCACTTGCAGGTGATCCTGAACATTCTGGAGAGAATTTAGATTGGCTTTTTTCAGTGCCTTCCTTTACTCAGTTGGCTTCTTAGGAGGCCATTTTAGATCAGCTGCCTCTGGCTCCTTTTCTACTATTGGTACTTTGAGTACGTGATGTTTGAGTTTTTTTCCGGTTGCTTTTAAGTCTGCAACTTCCTTGATGGCAGAAAGACCTGAAGGCGAGTACTTAGTTCTCTCTCTCTCTCCATCCCTTGATATTGTGGTTCATGCAGGGAGGTTTACTACTCAGTTATGTGAATGGACAGTTATACCTTATCTACCACGTTTGTCAGAACAACATGCTTTCACCTACCATCATCGGGTGGAAACACATTTAAAATTTCAGATAATAGAACTGCTCCTGGAAATGTAGGTTCCAGAACAGTCTGTGGACAACCTGAATAGATCACAATCTTACAATGGTGTCTTACATTTCTGATCCAGGTCTCTTTGTTTTTAACCTTGAATCTTCTATATTGGGCCCATTCTCATCATCCTACTAGCTTGCCATGTTTTGGGGGTGATGAATTTGGTGGCAGATCAGTTGTCTTGACCCTACCGAATTCTCCTGACAGAATGGATGTTTCATCGAGGGGTTTTCTGTTGGACTTGGTCTCAGTTCGGGACAATGATGATCGATGCACTTGCCACTCATTGGTCTACTCAATTACTGGCATTTTAGTATTCAGTACCTCACCCTCAGGCATTGGCAACAGATGAATTTTGTCAGGACTGGACTGGATTGCACCTACATGCCTACCCACATATTCCTCTGTTACCCAAAATCCTAGAAATAATTCATTCAACCCCTGGTTTCTGCTTCTACAGAACCTTCAGGATTGCTCACCTCTTCCACTTCCTCTTTGGCCATCTCTGTTGAGCCAGCCATGATCTGACATCTTATACCCATCCATCTCAAAGCTCAAGCTTCAAGCATGGGGGTTATGCAGTCCTTCACATAGCATCAAGGTTTAACTTCTAAGGTTGCCATGTGCCTGTCTCAGTCTGTGCATCATCCCACAATGGATATTTATCAATGGAAATGTCACACATATACCGACAATGGTGTATTGTGCCAACCATGGCTTGGTTTTTGTCCTGGCTCTCTGACAAGGGTTTTGCATCTTCCACAATCATCCTATATAAGGTGGCCTTACGAATTACCTTTAGATACTTAAAGAGATGGTAATTCTTTGAGTCCCCAGTGCTTGGTCTCCTCAAATTGCTTCGGGTCTTTCATCCCAAACAACTGTTTCAGTTATCTAACTGGAATATAAAGGTGGTGTTACATGGTCTTTCTCGATATCCGTTTGAATCCTTGGCCTCATGTACCATGTATCACCTTTCCCTTAAAGTTTATTATTTGTTGCTGCTGGCCTGCGGACATCGCCGGTGGGAGCTGTTTGTGCTGCACATGCACAGAACATTTTATCATTCTATCTACATCCTTCTGTACCCAGACAGGTCCTTCTTACCTATGACACTGGCAGCCAGGGAAGGGGATAAATCCTTTTCACTGATTCATCTGAGTGCTATTTCTCACCTCTATGGCCAATCGGATCCTGATCCATTGTAAAATCCAGTGAGGACATTGAAATGTTGTGTTGCCCCACTAAGGTTTTTTATTCATTGTGACCCTTCAGTTTCCCATGATTTATCCCTGGTTATTTCAACAGGGTGGGTACATCTGCAGTAGCAACCACTAACAAATATGCTTATCTAGATTGCAACAGGCGTTGTAGAAATGAGGTGTTCCATAAGACCATGTAGAGGCAGACCAGGTGGTATTACTGTACTATGCTGAACCACCACACATGGACTATAATATAAGTAAAGCACAAGGGGATCCTGCCCATTCCTGCTGATCATTGGATTGCATAAATTGGGGTCAGTTTGCTTTTAAAAATTTAGGGAGCTTGGTATCCAGAGCATTGCTCCTCAGGACCCCCCCCCCCCTCCACACACACACACACACATATTCTACTACTACTAGTATTCCTTACCACTCCCAGTTTCTAGTCACAGGGGTTGTGGACAGAGGATGTTACTCCTGAATGCATGAGTACTCCTTATTTGAATTCACAATTCCAGTATTGATAATATGCATCTACATGTAGTTAACTTGTACATTATTTTTTCATAATATGAAAAAGGAAGTGAAAGGTGTATGACTAGAGAGATAAATTAACATCATAACATTGGTTCATTTTTTTGAAGTATTACAACCTCATTTTTATTAGTTTTACAGTCAATGTCTCATAAAAGTGTTCTTCTATTTTCTGTGACATTTTCATCATAAAACCAAGCAGAGTTTGTGTTTTTCATGGCTTGAAAATACTCAGTACTTTGCTATTGTGTTTTTTTTATCAGAAAAATAAAGAAACAAATTAACTAATATGGGCTTTTAATCTGAAAAAAAAAAAGTTAAATGATGATTTTTTTTCATAGATAATAGTGATTCTTTTGCATTACAATAACTTGTTTTGACTTATAACCCTATTTGTAAAGACTAGATCTGTTTTTTGATTTAGTTTTGTACTTTTGGCATGTGTACATTTCTGTAGGACTGTATGTCAACACTTCTGGATCTCATCCTTGAGGGTAGTTCAGAAGACTCTCCAAGTGATCTGGTTTCTCAGTTACATGATCTCACTCGTTCAGCTGTGTTGATTACTGAGCAAGAACTAGCTGGTTTGGTAAGTAACCTTACATTATTTAACCTTAACTTTAATTGAAAGAAAATAGGTGAGGAGTTAAATTTATTTGTTATAACAACATCTTAAAGTAGTGACTAAACTTTTCTTAGTTACATGTGTAGTGATACTGACTGTCTAAAAAGCATGGATGTAAATAATTCTAAAATATATTTTTAGTCATACACATAAGAGATACTTAGACAATCTGTATACCACTAAAACTTTGAGATTGTTTGTTTGCTTGTCTGTAATTAAATACAGCAAAAATGGCACACAATATCACCATATTTGTAATGATATGAGAATAGAAACAGAATAAAACAAGTTTCGTTAAAATTGAGTCACGGGTTACCGAGTTAACCCCCGTTTTTCGGGTCACTTTTATGAAATTGTCTAGATGACTTTATGTACACTAGATGGCGCTACATATCAGTTTATCTATCTATCTATTCGTTTTCCACCTGATGAATCACTTTAAAATATCTTCTATAAAATAATATATGCACAACAGAAATTAAATGATGATATGAAAATGTGTTATAATGGCGCATAGAAAGAATAACAATAAAATGGACCTACAGTATTATTGACTATGTGCAAATAGTAACAGACTTAAAGTAAGACCCAA